ATCTGAAATTGTTAAATGATCCGATTCTGTTAGTTTCATTCTGTACTTTATCGCGATGTATGTCTTTATTGTGTACCTATTCGAATTTTTATGTTCACGCCCTTCCTGCTAAAATCCCTAATGGGATTGGCAGTATGTGGAAATAAATAAATAAATAACCTCCGGAACACCAATGACTTCATAAGCAAAATGAAGAGTATCATTGTGGATGTCGACGAAATACTGGTTTCATTTTATGTCTGCTCCCTCTTCACAAGTGTTCCCGTCGACCTTGCTGTAGACACTTCCAGACAATTGCTTCACAAGGACACGACATTGGCCGATCGCACACCGTTCGACGTCACCGAGCTGTGCACCTTGTTACGGTTTTGCCTATCCAACACTTACTTCTCGTACAAGGGTAAATTCTACAGGCAAGTTTTCGGTACCGCAATGGGAGCGTCGATTTCGGTCACAACTGCAAATATCACAATGGAAGCAATTGAGCAGAAAGCATTGGGAACATTTCAGCCTAGACCCAAGGTTTTTCTGAGATACGTCGACGACTGCTTCTGCGTGATAAAGAAGAAAGACGTCCAAGCTTTCCTTGACTGCCTAAATGGCGTCGAGACTTCCATAAAGTTTACTGTGGAAGAAGAAAGAGACGGTTGCCTCCCTTTCTTGGATGCAGTTGTAAAACGTACTCCCACAGGCCTCGCCTTCGCTGTGTACCGAAAGCCAACACACTCCGGTAGATACCTCGACTATGAGTCAGTCCACCCGGTAGCCCACAAACGCCCAGTGATTCGATCTTTAGTTCAACGAGCGATTCGCACTTGTTCCGATGAAGGAAGCCTGCAGGAGGAGCTCCGGACCATTGAAGATGACCTGATCAGGAATGGATACCCCAAGATTTTTATTAGGAAAACAACTAAAGCCGTCATGCATAAACTGCAGTCAACTAGTCAAGCCATGCATAACACATCGTCTACGCAAAAGCGTGCATCAATTCCTTATATTCGAAATGTAAGCGAAGCACTAGCCCGTCTGTTCAGAAAACGTGGTGTACAGATCGCGCATGTTCCAGCAAGCAAGCTTAAGGCTGAGTTGCTAAATGTGAAGGATCGTCTCCCTTGGCAACACTTTCCTGGTGTGGTCTACAAGATACCATGCGCCGATTGCGAATCAGTGTACATTGGCACGAGGGGAAATTACTGCAGACGTCTGATGCAACACAAGAATGACGTCGCCAAGGGCCACACAGTGACAAATGCACTCGCAGAGCATGCCGAGAAGACGGGCCACGAGATAAGCTGGGACAACGCACGCATCATGGCCACGGAGAAAAATTTTACAACCAGACTGAACCTCGAATCACTAATCATTCAGACAAGTAACACAATCAATAGATCATCTGGCACACTAAACTACGTGTACTCCCGGACTTTGCGTCATGCGCTCAACGTTACATAAGAACCTGTTGCTCAGCCGTCATTCCATTGTGAACAAGGGATCCGTACGGGTCCCGAAACGTCATTGTTTTGTTTGACATTGGTCAGTGACCTGTTTTATTCAACAATGGTTCAAGTTATTACCCTCTCAAAGATGTTTCATTTTGATATTCATGAAGGCAGGTTAAAGAGTGCTTGAGTGAGTGTTAGGCATGATGATGTCACTAGTGATCAGGTCACTAGGCCGAGTAACAGGGTACGAGCTATTTTCCTCTCAAAGACATTTAGTTTGATACGCATGAAGACAGGTTAGAGAGTGCTTGCGTGGGTGTCAAGCGCGATGACATCGCGCGAGTCACTAGTGATCAGGTCACTAGGCCGAGTACCAGCATTCAAGTTATTAGCCACTCAAAGACATTTCGTTTGATATACATGAAGGCAGGTTAGAGAGTGTTTGCGAGGGTGTCAGGTGCGATGACGTCACGCGAGTCACTAGTGATCAGGTCACTAGGTTGAGTAACAGCGTTCAAGTTATTACGCTCTCAAAGACATTTCGTTTGATATGCATGAAGGCAGGTTAGAGAGTGCTTGCGTGAGTGTTAGGCATAATGACGGCACGTGTCACTAGTGATCAAGTCGATTGGGCGAGTAACAGCATTCAAGTTATTACCCTCTCAAAGACATTTCGTTTGACATGCAGGAAGACAGGTTAGACATTGCGTGCTTTGGTGATAGGCGTGATGACGTCATGTGAGTCGCTAGTGATCACTTTACTAGTCAGAGTGACAGCATTCACGTTATTAGTCTCTCAAAGATGTTTCGTTTGATATGCATGAAGGCAAGTTAGAGAGTGCTTGCGTGAGTGTCAGGCGCAATGATGTCACGATAAGGTGTGAATAGTGCTTACGCGGGTGATAGGCGTGATGAAGTTGTGCGAGTCACATTGTCACTAGTGACTCATTCATTGTTTTTCCTCTTAAATTCACTCCAGAACTATTCGCTCCACGCGTTCTTGAAAATTCTGGGTCGCTTTGAAGTCCCGATGTCGTCAGGATTAAATTCGATGGTGTCTGAATTAAATCGGCTGGTGGTTGGATTAATTTCAGTGGCACTTGGATTAAAATGAATGGCAACTGGATTAATTTGAGTGGTGGCTGGATTAAATTGACAGGCGCCTAGATTAATTTGGCTGGTTCTTGGATTAAATTGACCGGGAAAACCTGTGGCTCAGAAAGGCCAGGGAATAAAATGAAACTTTAATAACTCTTTATACATGTAGTAGTTTTTGAGAAAATGGGTCCTGAAGAAGCCATGAGAGGTATAGGGCCTGCCCTTTACGTGTTGTTCTTTCGACCTTGTTTCAATCTTATGTTTTACTGTAAAATGGTTACACTGTGCAGCGGGTGTAGTCTATTTATTTATTTTATTTATTTCACGATACCGTAGGCCTCTGTACAGACCCATACAGAAAGTGGTTAGAAAGAGTATACATGAGCATGGACATAATAAAATCAAAAACGAAAGCAGAACACAGAATGTTTTGAAAGAGAACACAGAATGCCTTAGTAGATAATGCTTCAGTAATAGATCAAGAACAACTAAAAAAAAATGCACAAATAGGATGACACATCAAGAAGCACCATACATTTGACAATCTTCTGCAAACATTTACCGCATGAAGTACTTGCCTATGTACAATCAAGAAGGAATTCCAGTTTAGCAATAAATTCATCCACAGATCGGCATTCAACAATTCAACTTGGTAAAGCATTGCAAGATTCAATAGCCCATGGAAAAAAAGAGTATTTAAACGTGTCGCATTTGGCTTGATAAGGCCTGATGTGTTTATTGTGATAGGTTCTGATGGAGTGACAGTGCGGTGTCTGCACGTAGTCTTGTTTGTTTATGTTTATGTGGTCGTGATAGAGCATAAAAAAAAACTTCATTACGGCCACAACACGCCGACATGCAAGGGTAGGCAGTGCTGCCTGATTTCTAAGTACACTTACGCTTTGGTGTCGAGAGTACTTCGCATATATGTCGTAATGCTTTACTTTGTATACTTTCTAGTTTTTGAATAAGTTTTTTCTGGTGTGGGTTCCACACAATATTAACATACTCAATAAGCGGCCTCGCTAATATTTTATATGCGGTTAACTTCACATGTGATGGAGCTGGACACAGTTTTTTTTCACAAGAATCCTCATGTTCGGAAAGCCTTTGTGCTCGTGTTTTCAATGTGATTATTCCATTTCATGTCTCTTGTAAAGGTCACACCCAAATATTTAACTGAATCTGTCACTACTAAATCGTTACCCATTAGTCTATATTTGAAACTTAGAATCGTCTTTTTATGTGTTATAATCATGCATTTAGTTTTCTTAACATCAATTTCCATGCTCCGTCTGTCACACCAATGGGCTATCTTGTTAAGTGTATTGTTCAATTTGAGTTGATCATCGTCTCTCTGCACGCAAGTGTAAATAACCAAGTCATTGGCAAAGAGCCGTAACTTTACTCCTTTTTTCTTTTTATGTGTTATAATCATGCATTTAGTTTTCTTAACATCAATTTCCATGCTCCATCTGTCACACCAATGGGCTATCTTGTTAAGTGTATTGTTCAATTTGAGTTGATCATTGTCTCTCTGCACGCAAGTGTAAATAACCAAGTCATCGGCAAAGAGCCGTAACTTTACTCCTTTTTTTGCACAATCAACGATGTCATTAACGTAAATAAGAAATTACAGTGGTCCGAGAACAGATACTTGCAGCACTCCTGAATAAACTTCGAGTTCATGGGAGCCGTAATTATTTATCGTAACATACTGAGATCGGTTCGAAAGATAAGCTGCTATCCATTCCTCAATATCATCTGCAAATCCAATAGACCTGATCTTTTCAATTAATTTATAGTGCATGACACGGTCAAAAGCCTTCGAAAAATTAACAAGAACAGTATCAACTTGAAAATTTCAATTAATTATTGACGTAAAGTTATGGGTTATCTCTAATAACTGAGTAATTGATAAATCTTTATTGAAACCATGTTGCATAGGGTATAACACGTTATTTTCGTTTAGGTACGTCATGATAGCTTTACTCATTATGTGTTCCATGACTTTACAAGAACAACTTGTCAGAGATATTGGTCTATATGTTTCAACATGTAGCTTGTTTCCTTCTTTATGAATCGGTATTACTTTAGCGCACAGCCAATCCTTAGGAAGAGAAGTTGTACTCATCGATGTCGAAAATATGATCTGCAAAAAGGGGGGAATTTGCTGAGCGTACCTTCTCAAAAACATATTTGATATATTATCTGGCCCGGACGATTTCTTGGTGTTTATTTGCAAAGCATGTTTAAAATACCTTGCTCTGTTATCTCGAGGTCACCCTTCCGGTTATCAGTTACTGGCACGCCCACCAGTGCAATTGCTGAGCGTGTGAAGGCGGATTGAAAATAGTCGTTAAATGTATTAGTCACAATGTGCATGTCTTCTATGTGCAGTCATTATGTATGTCGCTGTTTTTTATTTGTAACAGAATAACGGTGTAATATGCTGTGCAGCTCAGCTTCACCGCTACCTGGAGTCTCAAGTAAACATTCACTACCAGACGCCTGTGTGCACAGAGGAGAAGGAGTACATTGATGAAGAAGAGCTTCGTCGAAGGCAAGAAGCTGCTGTGAGTGCTCACTAGTTGCCATTTATAAACACAGTTACTTAAAAATCACGTAATGTTTTAAAGGGATCTTGTCAGCTTTGGGATGTCATTACACTGTCTTATAGTAGATTATATAAAATCTTATGGCAAATAATCATCTATGCACAAGCATGTTATAGTGGAGATGTTAATTAGTATGAACCAATTTGGCTTTTTTTTCTCTGTTTGTGGTGATGTGTGCATGTCTCTCATCGTCAGCCATTTGCTCATTACTCCCAGATTTCACTGTGGTAAATCATCTTTAGTTAATCTGACCAAGGAGGTCAAAGTCGTAATAGACAGTGCCCTTCTCACTGTGGAGGTCATAAAGAAAAAAAGACAATGTTTACTCTGTCTTGCAAGTAACCTGTGGCAGTACCAAGGCTTTAGGGATTCGGGGGAGGGATGGTATCTTCATTTAGCAGTCCTTGCCGGCACCGCCACATCCCCGCACACACATTTTAATGACCCTTCTAACCCTTCAGGGTCAGTGACCTACGTGCACATCGTTCGCAAACACCTTCAAGATCAAATATGTAGTACATTTATGGTGTTGCCTGTATATTTAAAAAGTGGGCCTTCTTTTTATCATTTCTTACTTGGCATGTGTTGCCGCATTTCAGGAATACATAGAATTTTTTTGTTGCGCCAATGTTTCTCTATTTTTGGGTGGTTTTAATACAGTGGTGTGCCAGCTAGTTCTCGTTTCGTCCTTGAGGTAGTTCCTGCTTCTCGCGTCCGCAAAACTGATGACTGTCTGGTTTCGAATCTCTCCGAGGGTGAAAAGGTGACCATTTTATTACTTTCATTCATTGCTTCCTGGAGCATGATTATGCCTGTTTCCTTGCAAGAGCTGTCTGATACAATGCTGCTGTGTTAGCGTTTCCTGTGTTGGGGACTCGAGGGAAAAAAGTTTCGCAGGAGTGCAAAGCTGCGCCAATTTGATACAATTTTGAATTTTCGCGGCAAGTTGCAGCAGAACCATTAAATTCGCCGAGATTGCGCCACACTGTGCCAAAATGCGTGACCAGCCTTAAAATTTTGTCAGTTTCGCTAATTTTAGCAAGAAATAGACAGCATGTTGGCTACCTGGAGTTAATGTCATTGATAAATCCAGGCGTGCACACTCTAACTCTAAACAACGCTTCCTAAAAAAAAAAAAAAAAACTATGCTTGGAGTGTGCGCCACGAACTTGCTGCCTTACCCTCGTATTTTACCCTCCCCCTCTGGTGCTAAGGCTAGCGCCTCTGACGGCCACCCCTTGCAAGCACGGCATGGAGGAAGGAAATACTTCATGAAACACAGCAAAGCTCTCACATTTGCCTCCAAATGGCTGCCAAGGTAGTGTCACGTGAGTGAGCGGTACGCAGGCGAGTGGCCTCATGCGGCAGCCAGTTGCCACACGCGGCAGGAGGCATGGCCTCTGAGACTGCGCGTTGGCAGGAGGCTCCCAAAGGAAAAAAGTGATATTCCCGGCATAGTTTTTTTAGGAGGTGTTGCCCTAAACCCCGGTGTAAAATATATATCATTAGGCCAGGGCACTCGCGAAACGGGATTGACCAGATAAAGTAACAATGTCGCGCGCCTATCTGTCTGCTGAACGCAACGGATACCTATTGGCGGCACAAAGCAACACAAAAATGCGTTGCCGTAGCCAGCAACACGTCGCGGGAAACATGAATTTCCTAGTCGGCAAACGCTGCTATATGGCATGATGGAGACTAAAACTTGAAGCGTATGCCACTGTTACTGCGGGCGAACCAACTTAACGTGCGACGAACGTCGACGTTGGCGGCGACCACGTAGTTGCCAGAACAGCTGTGTATGCCCGTTGGCCCGTCGGCGAGCCAACGGGAGGGTATCGTCGTTGGTTTATCAGTCGAACGTGCCTTGCAAGCTAGCTGGGAAGTTAGGCCCTAAACATAACCTAATCGCAAAAAAAAAAAATAGTAAGGGGGGACTGTAGCGTTTCGAAAATTTCATGGCCTCGTTCTAAACCGTGAAAAACGCCACTTAAGCCAACTTTGCCGCAATACACCAGTGGCTTGCAGGGAAGTGTTTCAAGATTTGTAACGGGCTGTTAGCATTAGTCACGGGACACAGCACAGTTTGTTCAATTCTTCATGCATGTTTACGCCACATGATTGGGAGTACTAATATGATCGCTGCGTGCCAGCCCAGTATTCTACTACTGAGGCATGCCGGTTATATGAGCAATATTCAAGGTTTCGGGCATTTTAGCGTTTTAGAACAGTAAAAGAACGACGCATCACACAATGTGAATAGCGTAATGAGTGGGTTTTACAATGCTCCAACCCATTTGAAGAGCTTGTTTTTGATTACCTATTCACTGTGGTGCCGACCCACTTCAGGCATAATTCGTCATCATCAGCCACTGCGTGAACAATTGGCGCAGAATTCCTTGCAAGTGTTTAGTGGATATAACGCTTCTCAGAAGAGAGGAAGGATAGCATAGGGAATGCTGGTCGACTACCCAGAAATTATTATTAATAATGCCGTAGTGGCTACCCAGCAAGTGTGCTTAGAGCAGTTACGCAATGATAGTTTAGAAAAGGCTCTAAAAGGCCGCCCTTCTAGCTTTCACTGTGACTGTGCTGTGCATAGGCCTGGCGTTTTTTTTCGTTTTTGTTTTTTATTATATACAAAAACATTTTTAAAAACCTATACATAGTTTTCACGTGACGTCTACGACACATTTTCTTCTGTGGTTGCCCTAAGGTGGTGGCAACGATGACCTTGTATCTTGTTAGAGAGTGTTACTGCAGAGGAGGACACAGTCGTTGGGTCCCTGCATTCTTTTGTGATCGCCCCACTTTCTTCTGTTTGCGAGGCATGCCAGGAGAATGCCATGAGCACCGACACTAATCCCATGTCACCCCTTGAGCTGACCCAGCATCTCAAACCAGCTGGGAGCCCTAAAATAGCGCCTGTGGTGACATCCATGCAAACTAAGTTATATTTCATTGCTGTTTTCTGGCACTGTGGCTTTTCATAGCCTGCTCCTTGCCAGTAGATTGTCTTAAGGCTCGCCCCTTTGCCATGGTCTAGTGGCTAAGGTACTCAGCTGCTGACCCACAGGTCGCGGGATCGAATCCCGGCTGCGACGGCTGCATTTCCGATGGAAGCAGAAATGTTGAAGGTCCAAGTGCTCAGATTTGGGTGCACGTTCTCCCCAGCTGGTCGAAATTTCCAGAGCCCTCCACTACGGCAACTCTCGTAATCATATGGTGGTTTTGGGACGTTAAACCCCACAAATCAATCAATCAAAGACTTAAGGCTCGCATATATGTGAAAGTGCCGGGAACATTTTTGTGTGTTTGTCTTGCCAATGTTTGCTTCACTGCCCCCTAATCTCGCAGCTCCTGGTTGCATTATTAGTTTGTGTCGTATACCCGTTAGAACATCAGTTTAGCTTGCTTAGTTACTGTCTAAATCAGAGTTTGTCATAGGGTAGTGACTAAAGTGCTGTTGTGGGACTGAATGTGGTTACTGCTTTGGAAGAGCACTAGTGATAGTTTTGATCACGTTTGATTTATGTACAGGGTTCATGCAGCTTCTTTGAACCCTTCAAAAGTTTTTAATTTGAAAACTTCGTTTTCAAGGCCTTGAGAGTACTGGAATTCGTGCAAGTTTCTGAATATCCTTGTATTTTATTTTCTTTTTAATGAACATTGTTACACTATTCACAGTGCATTATTTGTGATGCCGTAAATGTAACAGTAAATATGTAATATGCCCATGACAAAAGAATAGAGAACATCAGTAGCTTCTGCGAAGAACCAAAGCAGTGCATTTTTGGAAACTCTGAAAAAGCAGGAGCATGAGGATGGCAAACAGAAAAAGAAATATTGCATTGAGAAGGAGATTGAAATGCTTACAAAAAGAAAAAAACAATCTAGGAGCTGCTCTTCAGGAGTTAACAGCTACAAGAGACTCGTATGCAGAAAAGGCAGAGGCAACTATTGGCCTGACGTGCATCATCAAGTCAAACAGCCTTAGGAAGACTGCCAAGACCAAGCAGCTAGAGATAGTAGATATTGATATTGTCACGCACCAAGAGCCGTTGAGACAAGACAGGAACAGTGGGGCAGAAAAACACGAGCGTGTATCTTCAAAACAAAGCGCTAACACACACTTCTTCGATCTCTTTGCCCTTTTCGGCTGGCTAGGACTTTCCCGTTCATAACTCTAGGTGGCATTATTCCCCCTGCCATTAGAGAATCGACTCAATGCTCATACACAAGAGGACAGCAGGGCCCATAAGTAAAAAAAAAAAGGGAGAAATGATACTTATAGTGCACAGGGCATATGCCGATGCAAAAAAAGACGTCTGCGGTTGGTCATAAGAAAAAAAAAAACATTAACACAGTTCACAGTTCGTTCGAGACCCAACGGACAACGTAAAAAGGAAAAAAATGTTTGCTGCCCGGGCACAGTAAGGCGAGTATCACCTAAAACCTTATTTTACGCAGACGACATGCACAATCTCTGTTCGTGGTGAGTGGCGCTGGGTCGTTGCCGAGCCTCCGTCTGGAATAACTTCATAATTGACCTCGTTCAACTGCCGTAATACTTTGTAGGGTCCGAAGTACTTGCTCAGAAGCTTCTCGCTGAGACCTCGCCGTCTAACAGGAGTCCAGACCCACACTTGGTCGCCAGATTTATAGGTGACTTGTCGATGGTGAATATTGTATCTTCGGGTGTCTTCACATTGCTGCGATTTTATGTGCACGCGAGCTAGTTGACGGGCTTCCTCTGCACGCTGAATGTAATCATCGACATCAGGAGTTAGCAGCTCGCGCTGGTCGATGTCACAAGGAATCATGGCGTCTAGCTTGGTTTGCACGTCTTAACCGTAAACGAGACGGAAGGGTGCAAACCTTGTCGTTTCCTGGGTTGCGGTGTTGTATGAAAACGTTACGTACGGCAGGATTTAGTCCCACGTTTTATGCTGCACATC